CGAGAAAGCAGCAATGAGGGGAGCCTGCAAGTGCCAAGGGGTGTCAGGCAGCTGCAGCATCCAGACCTGCTGGCTCCAGCTCGCCGACTTCCGGGAGATCGGGAACTACCTGAAGATAAAATACGACCAAGCCCACAAGCTGGAGATGGACAAGAGGCGGATGAGAGCTGGCAACAGTGCCGACAGCCGCGGGGCCACGGCGGAGACCTTCCACCACGTCCACCCCACAGAGCTCGTCTTCCTGGAGGACTCTCCCGACTACTGCACGAGGAACGCCAGCCTGGGCCACCACGGCACCGAGGGCCGCGAGTGCCTCCAGACCGGCAAGAACCTCTCGCAGTGGGAGAGGAGGAGCTGCCGGCGGCTGTGCACCGAGTGCGGCCTCCGCGTGGAGGAGAGGAGGACGGAGGTGGTGGCCAGCTGCAACTGCAAGTTCCACTGGTGCTGCACGGTGCGGTGCGAGCAGTGCCGGCAGCTGGTGGGCAAGCACTTCTGTGGCCGGCGCCTGGGGTGGGAGGGAGCGTCCCCGGGGAGCTGCGGGGCCCGGGGGGGCTGAGCGGGCACCGCACAAGGTGGTGGGGGCTGCTGCGGACGGACGTGGCGAGATTAGGAAGCGTGAGGTGCAGGCACTGAGGGACCACGGTCCTCCTTGCTTCCGTGGTTTTTCCTCAATATTTACCAGTAGCTTCTTTCCTTTCAGGAGTCACTTTATCTGTGTATTGGACAGAGGGAAGAATTTAACTCTTCTGGCGGGCTCAACCCCTTGCGTCATGTCCAGGGGTCAGCTGAGGCCGGCGGTGGGGCTCCAGCCCCGTGGCAAGAGAGGTGGGGACGGGCACCATGGCCAAAAGCAGGTCCTGCTCCTCCCCAGCAGCCACGGGCACCCCCAGCCCGTGGATTCACGCACGGCGGCTGCTCGGCCGCATTCCTCATGGAAAACTTCATGCACTTTCTGATGCGAGAGGGGGTCGTGCCGTGCCGTGTACTGCGACAACTGCGGCTTTTTGAGGGCTTCCATAGGTTTCAAGCCAGTGTTTACAGATTTCGTATCTCCCCCTCCCCCCCCCCTTTTTATATTTTGTATACCCGTACCCCAGCCCTTGCCCCAAAAGGCAGTAGCTTCATCTATTTGTACTGGATGGAATTAAGCTGTTTACAATTCCTGTACTTTTTTGTTTGTTTGCTTTAAATTAGCAGATAAGAATTCAGAATTCTTTATGCCAAATGTTGTTATTAATAAGTTGTATTATTGCTTAGCACAATCTGTTTTCTCTCTCTATTTCAAAGGTATCCCCAAAGAGTTACGTTTTGGACTGTATTTTGCAATAAACACCACAAAGATAAAGATTGGCTTTTTCCTTTCTGGCTTCCTAGCAGCAGGGCTGCACATGCAAAACGTGTAAAACCCAGCACTTCCAAGGCTTCTCTCCGTTAACCCAAAAGCCACCGAGAGGCTTGTTCTCCTAGACCACACTAAAAGCGGGCTCCAGCCTTCCGTCCCCAACGCGTTTGCTTTAATGCCCATCACCGCGATATCTGAGCCTTATCGAGCGCTGAGCGCGCAGGCACTGCCTGGCGAAAGCCGATCCCGAAGCTCCCAATGCCTCTTTAATTTGCCCGGGCCGACATCCCCCAGACAACGCGAGGCTGCCCCGCTTTGATGTGGAAAGCGTCGGCACTCGCTGCAGAATTCTTGGAGGCACGAGAGGAACCCTTTGAACTGGGGGCGGGAGAGAAACTTGGGGACAGCTGTGAATGTGCCTGCCGGTTCCCCGCTGCCGCGCGTGCAAACAGCCCCGCGCCACGGCGGGGACGGCAGGAGGGGACACGGGCTGGGGGCTGGCTGCTGCCTCCCGGAGGGTCCCGCTCTTCTCCTGGCCTCCCCGGGGCTGTGCTTCAGCCCAGGTCACTCCTCAGAGCCACGGCGCTGCTCTGGAGCGAGCCAGGGCTGTGCCACCGCCTGCACCCACGCCACGGGGGCAGAGGATGCTCTGCCAGCTTTGCTTTCCAGCCAGGGGAGGAGGAGAAGGAGACACAAGCGGAAAAAAAAAACCCAACCCCGACAGCCCTGCCAGCGTGTTGTGCCCACACTACAAACGCTTTGATGCTGTTGTACCCAGGCATCCCCCTGGCTCCCAGCACAAACACAGCCGCCGCGCGTGCTCGAGCCAAATCATCGGGAAGCTCAAGGTGCAAAACACACGGGTCGGGAAGCACGACCGACTGCCATGCGTTTCTTTTTGCAGAGAGTGGTTTTGTTAAAGCTGGAAGGGCTACATCCTTCTGGGGGCTTGTTTGCTGCCGTCGGAGTAGTTATTTCTGAAGTTTCCGTGGTTAATAGGCCACCCCACCACAGCAGAAAACTCCAAGATGTTTCCACAGCGTTGCTGCAACAGCACCGACAGCCCACCGAGATTTAGGCTGAACTGGAAATGACAAACACAGGCAAACAAAGCGACCCCCCGTCCTGCACCCTGTGCACTGGCTGGCCCGCCGGCGCA